AAAGCAGGACGTGGTCCGTCATCCGCCTGCTTGTGTCTTGAATTTTCAGCACTCCACCTGCATGAGCCTCATTTGCTTTGACGGATGCAACATGGCCAGGATTGACTCATGACTTCGCTTTGATGCTGTATCTCGTGCTGTTCTCCCGCGACTGTCCTTTTGGTGCAGTTCTGCTCCGGCCGTGAGTAGTACTCGAACAACTTCCTCGTGGCCCCGTTTACATGCCAGCATCAGGGCCGTGCTGCCTTGCGCTGTCTGACGATGCCAAACGGAGCGATACACATGGGGCAAGGTGTGGCAAAAAACGTCAAGTTGGTCGATACTAGTGCACGACCCAAAAAGGATATTTTTGAAGTATTGACAGAGTCAAGCACGCAGCAACAATAAATATGTACTTCGAAACATGTAGCCTGAAGAGTGTCAAGCCACCCGTTGGTCTTCTTGCCTACCCTGAGAATACACCAAGTTGTGGCATACCTGCCCGTCGATGTCCGCCTTGTGATGGATGAGAGCTTGAACTATTGCCGCATGCCCTCTCTGAGAAGTCAAACCCAACAACAAGACACATGAGCCGATGGGTAAGTGGCTGCAACATTATGTGTGCAGGTGAGACAGGCCGCTGCGATACTAGTCACACCTACGTTCATCACACACGCTTGCAAAGGAGGCGCTGCAAAACACCGAACGATGATGCTACACTTGCGTTCACACGCCACTACACATGCGGTGAGCAACCTAAGCATGATTTACCTGATTGCCACGGACGGCAGCAAACGGGTCCAACACTCAGGCTATCGTGCTTGAACATGCCAGCGAACAGAGCGAATGCGAGGCAACTGCCCAAACACTCTCCATGTGTTGACTGTGGGTCGGCCTGGCAATACAGCGAACTCCTACTGTAACCACTCGACACACAAAGCATGGCGCCAACTGCAGTCGAAGGACATATATTTCCAACCATGAGTACAGCACAAATGTCTCACTTGCGAACCCAGCATCAGCGCGTTCATGCGCTCGTTGTTGCGCTTGCTAACATCCGCGCCAGCAGCAACGAGTATGCGGACCACCTCTTCGTTCCCCTCCTGTGTTGCGCGCATTAGCGCTGTTGTTCCCTTTTGGTTCGCTTTGTCCACGAGCGCGTTCGCGTTGACAAGTAGTTTCACCACTTCGGCATGCCCTGCCCAACGATGAACCACAAAGGTGACTAAATGCATGGACGGTGCAGATTCACGAGGCACCGGGGATGGGCAAGACATGAACCCAGCGATGCACGAGGAGATTCTGACAGCGTTCGTTGGTCACGCTCGACTAGCAGACTTACCGAAATGGGACGCCTGGATGAGGGGTGTTGAGCCGTTGTTGCTGTCGATGTTCACGTCCGCGTCAGCTGATATAAGCATCTTCACAATCTCCTCGCGCCCCTTGTGCGCCGCCACCGACACAGACGTGATACCTACAAATCGACAAGGGTACAACACGAGTCCGCAAACGACGTGAGTCTTAACTTGGAGGCCGCCGATTGCAGCAATGGGTGCCTTTGTGACGCCCAAGACTGATCGCCAACACTATTTGGATGTTGAACTACAAACAGCGCTCAACACTGCACAAAACCAGTAGCACATCTTCCTGATAACGCATGGCCACGATTCCGCCTTTTCTGCTAGCAGCTACAAACAAGCACCAACAGTGGGTTGATTTGCTTTGTTTTGCGTTGCTCGAAGTCGACGTTGACGAGCAGCGTCAAATCAACTAAGCCTGCGCGCATGAACATAGAACCACAATTTGCCCTACAAACCCCACCGCCGTTCTTGCACATGTTCAAATGGATCGCGCACCCTTGTGATTTTGCCAGTTAACCTTCGTGGCCTGGACCTCCAGTAACGCACGCACAGCTTCGTCGTGCCCAGCTTTTGCGGCAACGTAAAGCGCGGTATCTCCGTCGGCCTGAAGGGAAAAGCATCAACAACCCGAAGGATGGGCAACAGTCGGCATCTTGTGTGTCATGGTCTCAATTGAGAGTGGTCCTTCCTCCTTGAGGAACGTAACGCGACGCAAACCTGTTGGCGATGTTGGTGAACAAAAAAGGTGATACTTTTATAGTTATAGAGAAGCCCGCTTGCCGACCGACATGAACGAATCTGCCACTATTACTATTAGCAACGTGTCCCGACCAGCACCTCCCAAAAAACTACTTTGTATAGCAACATTTACAAGGACGGTGGAGGTGTCATAAAACACCACCGAGGCAAGCAGCAGTAGGCAGGCAGTGCCGTGAAAAATGCAGGGTCACCTGTGGCAAGGACGGATCAGGTCTCAATATGCAAGTTTCTAGAGCCAGCGCCGTTCCATCTTGACTCACTCAATAAGTTGGCGTGCGCGTTGTCGGTTGTTGACTCGATCGCCTATAGAATATATTGTGTCGGTATGCTAGAAGTGAGTACCCGCCGTATCGCTGCTGTCGTCATACACTAAATCATTATCTCATGGGGTGAAGCTGCCGTGTGGGTGCGGTACCATAAGCAAAGGTAACCCACCTTCTCCATCTGTTCGGCCGTATAATAAACTCGAATCCGTCCACAGCTACCCTGATCCCCGGTGCTCTGCGTGCGAGAGGATACCCTAGCCTGGTACTATAGTACTCATACAATACGTGGGTACCATCTGGAACGAGAGTGTTGGGGGTATTTCCGATTGTACTTTTTTTTCTTTTTGTCTTCACTTCAAATCAGCGCTCACAGGTTTTGAATCGTCTACTCCCAACCCGCATTCACACAGAAGGGTCCCTCTCCCGGAACCCCCCGACCATGGTTTGATTAACAGGACATTTCCTTTCACATTTCCCACCGCATTTCGCGGGCGCATCAACCAACCGCTCGAGAGGGACTTCATCACCAGGTCACAGAATGAAGAGCATAGGGCTAGCATAGACTGACAGCAGCAGCTGACTCTGATATACGCTCTCACGGGGTTTGCATGGAGGGGAGGACGTTGGGAAACCCTCCTCGTCATGGCTGGGTTGGTCAAGGTTGTTGTTGCTGCAGTTTGCTGTGGCCATCCCAATTGTAGACACCGGTTTCTACACCTCTTTATTGTTATTGGGCGCAACAGCATCAACAGCTACAATCAACAGCCAGGATCAACAGCCAGGGACACCCAAGAGGAAGTAACGGGAGTATTTTTCACACCAAGTGATTTGCCATGGAACTCTTGTTCGGCTGTTCCAGTCCCTCTTTGGCCGTGAAGTCGCATGTTGTGTACCCACGATTGAACACAATCCATTTGCATTAATGTGTTTGGGATGAATCAAGAAAAAGTTTCCGTTCGTGAAGACCTATCGAGAGCCGTCTCACGCGGTCCAACAAAGTCGGAAGCTGGAGAGGTTTAACCTACTGGGACAGGTATGCTGTCTGCTGGTAGAACTCGGAGCCAAACCGACACGAGAGATTGAGGGGCATTGGATGGCTTGTATGGCAAACAGTTAACCGAACACAACAATGTATTACACCGAGTCCTGATGGCGACATACTGTAGTATCCTAAATCACCATATGTCGTGGTAGCCCGACAGTTAACTGAACACAGCTTGGTACTGACTCCGCCAAAGCAATCACCACCTCCTCCCCGCAAACCCAGATTGACAACCAGCTCGCATTGGGAGCCCCGACATCAAAATTCCGTACCGGTGTCCGCTTGTAATAGGACTGGGTGGGGACTTCGTAGATAACATCGAGTGTTCCGCCTAATAATTCCAACGCGAAGAAACCGGATGGGCAAGACAATTTCATGAAACGTCGTATGCTTGGTGCCCCCTCTCGTGTATTGAATGAGTGTAACTGGTGACTGGAGACCAACCGGTGCACAACAAACAACAAATAGAAGATTCAATCAACCCAGCACACGAAAGAGGCAGCAATCAGCGGGCAGCGGCCAAAATAAAAATAAAAACTCAGCCGGGAAACTGAGGGTGCTCCGTTCTCCTTCCCGCGTATATATCGGTGACTTTTCGGCATACTCTCGATCCTACGTGATGTTCGACTTTGGACTCGATTTGTGGAACTCGTACCAAACTCGTTTGTACAGCTGTGCGGAGACTACATCTGCGGTAAAACACGATGGTATTCTAGTCGGTTCACCTCTTTGTACAAACACTCACATTTGCCGCCTTGTGGAGGATTGGGGAAGACGGGTTGTAGCGCCGGGGGTCCAAGAAGAACTCTGTAACGGTCAACGGGGCCTCACGCGCATCCTCCGTCTCCATCGCGTATCCCGCTTGAGCCGAGTCTCCCATACGCTTTCCTTCCGCTCTCTGGCAAGCTGCTTAAGATGGTTGTGTTACTCGGCGTCGGTCGTGATGGGGCTCCGCGAATTTCTATTCTGACAGTATAGGGGTATACCCTCCCCATTCTTTTCGGTCCGTCTCTCCACTCTGCGGGTCCAGTCCTGAGGCGTGCCGTCGTGTCTCGTGTCTCACCGCTATCATTGCAGCGCAGCTACCGCTCCGTCCGCTAGCCGTGTCGTGAGCCACGCGACCGACCCCGATCTCTGGATAAAGTGATTAAAACATGACAACAGCCCACAGGCCCACGTGGGCTCCGGCCCAAGCTGCTGCTTCCGACGTCGGAAACTGGTCCACTGGGGGTAAGAAACGTGAAATTGTTTCAGCTACAGCAGTAGTGCTCACCTCGCTGCTGTGGCTCCCTTGTTATAGTATACAGCAGTAGCATATCATAGCAGCATCATTATGGTCTCCGCTTCACCCCCCTGCCTTGTGGAGGAGACACAATTCAGCTGCGAATACATAACACCATTGCCTCACTGTCCCGCACCGTACCTATTGATTTTTCAGGGCAAGCAAGTCAGGCGGTTTCTGCGCACGATTTGCCAAGCCAGACAACTCTAAAATTCAGAAAGACAGGCCAAAACAGCGAGGCTGAACTTCGAAAGCGTGATGTCCGCGCGGAGGTCGAAGACAGCGAACGCCGAGCACTGGATGAGAAACCAGCTACCATCGCTCGACGTTACGGTAGGAGATAGGAGAACGAACGATAACTTGTCGTTAACATTGCCAAACTGACGTGCCTCCTGTTTTGTGTGGGGAGAAATTATCGAGCGAAAGAGTTGCTACCAGTATTTCGTGTGCAAAACACATCCTACAGCAGTGCATTTAGTCATTCCCAGAGTAGTTAAGGAGTAAAATAGTTTTGACGATTCGTACAACATTTTTTCAGATGCGCTGGCCATATTTCGCACGAAAGTCGAGGTACTACTGTAGTTCGTGTCATTGTATGCCTCTTGTTGTCAGTATTTTGGACGTCTGGACGTTTGATTTATGTCGCGAGTGTGATAGGTATGTCTGTGAATCGGTCGATCCTGCAGTACTCACTTTCAAAATCACGTAGACACAACGACGGTGGAATAGTTTTTGTTTGTCTTGCGGGAGTTTGATACTTCGTATGCATACTTGACAGCACTGACTGCTGTTGGTGCCGCACGCCCGCGAAATCTCCCGCTATAAGCGTGAGGGAGCGGCGATCTAAGCGCGTCTCGTTGCCGTCTGCCTCAACAATCAACACATAAATGTGGAAGACGAGGGAGGGGCCGGTCGAGGTAGGGATCGTCTACGGCTCCTGTTGAAAGAGCAGGGCGACGTGAATTTGGACGACGTGAAGAAGTACGACGACGAAGACGATGCTGACAGCGGTGATGATCTTGACATCAGTGACTCGGACGATGACTCAGACGATGACGAAGAAGCGCTGGAGAAGGAGCTGGAGAAGATCAGGAAGGAACGCGAAGAAGCTCGCAAAAAGAAGGTGCGCTGTGGTTTAGCGGTGGTTCTGATTATTATATATAATAGTGCATAGCGGTATCGCAGCCGATCTCATGACTAGATTGGATTGGTTGCCGTCTTTCGCCCGAAATGTGCAACGATTTCCCAAAAGTTGATCGCTTGGTGGTTTCAGACTGTGCAGTGTTCCCCGGCCTGATACCCGCTTGTTGTTTTTGGAGCCGTTGTGGGGCACCCAATCACTGCGCTGCACATATGCATATGGAGTTACTACCGTAGGTCGATCTATGTGTCGCGCGATGGTTGGTGTCAGGATTCACTCTGCGAAGGTCTTGTTGACATATTCTATTGGCCTCAAAGATAGCTTACAAATGAGAGTGCACTTTGGAGATGTAGCTTCTCAACGCTCCACATAGATTATGGCTTTTGCCCGAACGCTTATTTGTTGTCAGCGAGTTATGGTAGCTCGACCTACAGTAGTTTGAAATGACATTAAATTTATGATATTTGCCACACCATTTTGTCCTCGGGGCCCCCATGACAGGAGCGCGAAGAAGCTGAAGATGAAGAAAAAAGAAAGCAGGTGAGGATCTACGAGGCTCCGATTGAAATGTTCGTCTCTGTCGCAGACTTGAACCGATCACACCGCTCTGTATGGGAGCATATGGTGCGAGAACAGTTCAATAGTGTGCAAACTTTTCTCTCAACTTTTCTCATGACTTTCTTTGTGGGAGCAAAAAGATGCGCCAAACCTTCGGAAAACTTAAGCTTTTGGTAATAATGGCGCTTTCTGGAGCAGAAGTGTGCAAACTGTCTCGCGACAAAAATGTCGAACAAAAGTTTCGCGGCGCGGCTTCCGCCAATCCAGTCAAACAACTGCCCGTTATCACACGTAGACCCTCTCCCGCCACACACGCGCACGATCCGCGCGATCGATGAACGGCCAAGTCAGAATACTTGAACGGCGAATTGGAATTGCCTGCAATGGCCGCAGATGGGTAGAATACGTGGACAACATAGTTTTGTAGTCTGCAGCTACAATTTGGATTGGACGTATGATTGAGGTCTTTCTGGCTGCGATTGGAAAGCACAACGCCAGGTTTTATGCCACCAACTCGTTTTCCGAGCTTTCATTGCATGCTCTGGCTGGTTTTGCGATGTGGTGTGAACGGGTGTGCCCTCTTCTCGCCGTTGCTGAAAGCAATAAATGATCAAGCCTCCGCATTCCACCAAGTCCCATGAAGAAAACTTATTTCGCCCCATGTGAGCGTGCAATTAAATTTGAAAGCGTTCTTGACAAGAGTTCTCAACAAGAAATTGCCTAGAAAACTTGAACTTATCTCCCACCTTTATGCTCCCGTCAAAGGTGGTGTCGTTGGAGCATGACTTTGCTTAGACACGAATGGGTAACACTAGATCATACCAGCCTGTTGAGCGCTTTTGCCGGCTCTTCGACATGAAAGCTCACTAAATAATGTTCTGTACTTGACGGTTGTGCAGGAAGCAGCCATGACGGGGAACATTCTACTCACTCAGAGCAACAGCAGTTCGCAGGTCAAGCGAAGGTGAGCACGTCCGTGGTGTCGACTCCAGGGATTGGTTCAAAGGTGGCGATTTCACGATGCTCGTTCTGCCAACATAAGAGAGTACAACTACATGCCTCATCTGGAAGCCAGCATATGCATGCAAATAGGTTTAGTTAAAACAATTTTGGAAATCAAGGAAAGGTACAAAAAAATTGACGATTTTTCCACCCCGCGTCTCTGAATGTCAACAGATGGAACGACGACGTGGTCTTCAAAGGGCAAGCGAGGACCGAGCCAGAGACAAAGAAGAGATTTGTGAACGACACCATCCGTAATGATTTCCACCGACGCTTCCTCACGAAGTATATCAAATAGGGAAGTACTGCTCTGCGTTTGTTCGTTAGGGTCATGTTTCCTCACATAGTTCGCAACGGTGCGACATGCTGGTGGGGTTGAGGGTGGGTGGAGGACTGAAAGTTCTGTAGCGGGACGAAGCGAGGAAAGGAACGTAAGTTTTGTGACGGAGAGCAGCAAACGGTGTTACCGGCATTTGCGTAGGTACAGAGCCAGTGCACAAACTTCGGTTGACGTTTTGATGGCACACTCATCAGCTTTCGGGGCTCATTTGAAAGGACATGAACCAGGCGAGTTGGAGGAATCAAGAGGTAAAGAGGTTTTGAACAACGCTGTATCGGACTCAACGTGGGCGGCCTCGACACAAGGCCGAATAAAACGGCGAGATCTGAGTGGGGCAGCAGTTTTATTACAGCTTTAGGACACGGCGAGATCTGAGCACAGTTTTATTGCACCTATAGGACACTACGGACCCAACTGCCAGCACGCTCGATTCCGTCAGGCACGCCATTTGTACTGGAGGTCAGCACTTGCGACATCAAATTCAAGGTAGCTGCTTACTCTTGAGGACTGAGTCTCCTCGAGTTGGCTTCCTGACGAAGAAGGATTGGCTTTTGCTGATGATACCTTCGACTACACAAGGGCCTTCCGCCCCTTCACTTGGCAAGAATGTACATGGCAAAATGTTTTCCCGGTTAAGCACTACTTGCTCCGGGTGGAAAGAGTGATGCGTATTTCTATAAAAAAATCAAGTCGCCCCAGCTTGCCACACCCCATCCGGTGACGCCAACACACAAGGTACAGAGATGGACATATGTCTCCGGACCGAACTATGGCCACGCGACGTGCGATCGTTCCTGCGGAGTGGATTCGACAACATAACTGTGCATACAGCCGTCATCTGGCAATTCGTTGTGGCGTCTACATGCACCCGCACGCGTGCGCATTTGTACCTTGCACACCACAAGCTGAAAAAGACAATAGGCTATCTAGTCTCCTCCACTTTGGTTTCCGAAGAAGGCGATTCTTCTTTCCTGTTTTTTTTGTCTTCGGGTGCTCCTTCAGACGGTCCGCCACTCTCCTCGGCCCCTCGTTTGTTGCCGGTGGCCCGAGCCTTGGGCCCCCAGTATGGCTCCGGGTTTTGCTGATACCTGGTGGCCGTTTTCCTTGGCCAAAGCCCGGAAGGTACCGTGAAATCAGCCTGATGGTTGGGATCCTTAGCCAATATTGCCTGACCTGGGGAGCTGGTCTTACGCTTGTCGCTTACAGGGTGTTTCTTTACCCAACAGCGCATGACATCCCACACAATGTCGTCCGGAGCGTCCGTCTTCACCGCCTGGGGCTCTTTGTGCTGTTGGGAAACCCTAAAGCCTGCGTTGACGAGGGCTGCCTGCATGTCGATCATTCGTGGACTATTGCAGTGAAGCGTTGAGCACATGTCGGGCAGCGAATAGAAGAGCGGAACGTCCGGCAGTTCCTCGGATACCGACGTCAGCATTCCGTGAATGCGCTTCTTAGTGGACGGCTGATGCGGTCCGCAATTCTTCTGCACACGGTCCAGCAGAAGCCGTACCCAGTCCATGTCGTGGATGGCAGGGCTCCAGATAGGCCCGCCAACCTTGAACCGCTTGCCGGTCTGAGGGCACAACCCATCGCCAGTGGTCAACGACGGGTTGTAGTTGTTGTTGGACATCTTGCCCACCGGATGGAGGAAGAACGAGCCACACCCTAAGCTTTGGTGAACGTATGCCGCCTTGGTGCAGGCTTTCTTGACCTCCGCGGCAGAAGTGAAGACCCGCACAAATAGTCTAACGTAGAAGTCAATGCTAAGACTCAGGACCGGGACAACATGGCGGCGGTACCGGTTAGCTTGAGCCTCGAGCGCATGCAGCACAATTCGCAGAGCCATCTCGTGCAGATACTTTCCTTTGGTTGGCATGCTCCCGTACTTGGCATAGCACGTTTCTGGGTGTCCCCCGCTGAGGACTCCCATATCTGTGCAAGTTACACACAACAGTCCCCCCTCCTCCACACAATGCACGGCAGCATCTAAGAACGGGGCAGCAGAACCGTAGGGGTCCAGATCGATCACGTCGAAACGCTGCTTTGCCGCCGAGCTTGCGTGCATCGCGCTGATGGCATCACCCTGCTGCACACGTATCTTCGAGACGTCCACCTGATTGAAGTCTATGTTTCTCTGCGCAGCATGCACAGCCGCCTCGTCGAGGTCATTGACAACAACTTCCTTCACCCCAGGGATCTCCTTCACGTATCGAATGGAGCGAAGGGCGGTAGCTGCAAGCGCGTCCAGGATTTGTATGCCATCCGTCGATGCACTAGCGGCCGCGCGCTGACTCCAGTCTGTGGCATCCAAACCTTCGAGGTCTTGTGCCGTAAACTCAGCCCCTTCTCTCTGTAACATGGGAGAGTAGGGGTACGGAAAGTGTTCAATCCACGCGCTTCCGGCACATCAGCACATGGACCTCGTCGTGGGCGTAAGCAATGAAACACGAAAATATAACGTAGCCGCATTTACTGCGTTTTTGAATACACATGATTCCAAATCATCCCTTTCTTTTAATTTGTCTCGCGACGAAAAACTGCTGTCCTGCTGTTGCAGGAAGTGTCGCTGAATCCACACACAAGGACGGGTTCAGGGTGCAAGGGCGGGTTCACGGTGCATGTCAGATGTCACCGAGACACTTTCCTCACCTTTCGCGTCTTGCGGAGAGCCTGCTCGGTCTTCTCCCGGAGACGCTTTTCGGCGAAGAGCTTAATGACGTGAATAGATAAATCTCTGTTGAACTCTTGAACCTTATTGTAGAAGACCTCGTTGCCCTCCGAGAACGGGATCGCAGCTTGGCCCTCCACCAGCAACCGATGTCCCGGCGGCGGTGGTGGGAGCTGGTCCACAGAGGGACCGCTGGATGCCATTGACAGCTTGCGACGCAGTACTGATGATCTCAACGTGCGACTTCCCACAAACCTGGCACTGAGCATGCGAGAGCCTGCACGCAGAGTACGGTAGTGACCGCACCAAAGGCTTGTTGCAGATGTAGCAGGCAAGCAAATGCACTAACTTATTGTGTAATGCCAGCTGCGAGATGCGGCGGGTTTCTACACGTTCGACAGCTAGCAGGCGTCGCCGGAAGAGGGAATAAATCGTGATCCTCCTGCCCCGCTCGCAGGTAGGCAAACAGGTAGGCAGGTACTGCTGTACAGCAGTAGTAGTTCGCTCTCACGCTCTCAAGTACCTCTACAGAGCAGTAGATGCATTGACAGGGCATGACTGTAAGGATACATGCAAACCGCCCCCGCCATACTCAACGAACGCAGGTGGTTGGACATGTTTTGTTGTGGTAACCCGTTCATCGCAAATCGTTTGTTTTCAAGCGCACCAGGCATTTCCACGATAGCGTGGTGTGGTCCTGTGGCCAGATGGGTCTCTGCGGTTCCCTGCAATTTACATACAAAAGCATCGTTCGGGTGTTGAAAGTGAATGCCGTGGGAAGAAAACAGTGCAGGGTATTCGAGCATCATCAGCAATAATAAACCTCTTCTTGTCAGTGTTGTACGTGCACATAAAAGCACAGACAGCGGTGAACGCCCGAATTTCAAAATTTTAAGTTTTGAGTGGAGTCCATCACAGATAAGCAGCGTGCCGGCCCGCTCGTCGTACGAAAACGAACCCGTTTCTGCAAGGCTCAAACAAACCCGTGCGGTGTCTCCACCTCTGGGCACAGGCGATTGCTAAGCTACTTCATGGGATTTAGACGGGGGCGGCCGAGCCCAAACACTTGTTTGCATGCCTGGAGTTTACATACTCTGTTGTTCCTATTCGTCGACCAGAGCCTGTTTTCCTCGCAGAAACTTCCAAAACAGTGTGCGTACAAGGAATAATAGCTGGTGGAGGGGCGTGCGCATACCTCCGACCTCGCGCAACGCTGCTGTTATCTTACCTTATTTTGAGGCAACCGTATACGGCGCTTCATGGTTTTCGCGTCGTCTGAAACCAACTGAGAATTGTGTAAAGCTAGCCGCCTGATGGAGATACGGGAATCTACTGCATCTTGAATCCATGGCTCGATGTGTCTGCTGGTGCGTCGCTGCATGGTGATTTTATAAGGAGAAAGCTTAACGAAAAGAAAAGGATAGCTGTAGCAACCTACTGCTGTGGTCAGACTAGGCAGAGTTCCACACAGCCTCGGAAAGGAGATATAGCAGGAACACGATTTCACACGGAGTTCTGTAGTAATGCAGAGAAGTTGCTTGGAAAGCAACGAGAGCCGATACACGCAGCTTACAAAAAGAGAGGAGGACCCGGGTCAGCTGCTTGGAGCGCCCCATGGAACTGTAACTCCGGCGCACCCAATCGTCTTCGGACAACATAACCACAGCAGTGGCGAGACGTTCAAATCTTATTTGTACGGGTGCAACAACCTAACTGCGCGAGTCTAGAACAAGACTGATCTCCGCCGACAGCCATTGTTATACAGGCATCTTCTAAACAAGTACTCCCCAACGGAAACAAGCAAGGATAAATATATTTCTACATGCCTGAAGCACAACACAGATGGTGCGGGGCTGGTGCGCTATGGAAGAAGTGCTTACCATTTGTGAGACTCAAAAGAACGACACCAGTACAGAATCAGTCATGTGTTGAACACATCCGGCGTTGACGTGTACTGGCTTTGCCGAACTTCACGTGGATACAAACGAGAAAAAACGTACGGCCATGTCGGCTCAGTCCTTGGTGAGGTTGCGCCATTTGTCCTTCAGGTCTACCGCAGTACGGCAATCCTGGAATTTGTATTGGGCCAAAGCCAGGGCCCACTTGCCTCTTCCCAGCGCCAATACCGCAGCTTTGAGATGCTTCACTTCTTCTTCTGTCCAAGGGTGGCGAATCCTGGGCCCGCTTCTTTTCTTGGCCTTTACCTTGCCAGAGGCGGAGGGAAGCGCCGCCGCTTTGGCCGGCTGCAAGGCAGACCAAGCGACAAGACGGGGAAAGAGTAACAGCAAGAGGAGTTGAGCGCAAGTTGTGATGTGTAACAGAGATCAGAGAGAATTCGATCGTAATTTTGCGTTCCACTTATCTCGTTCAGTCTCCAGCTAATGCAAGATTCAACAGCTGTCGTGTAGGAAAACCAAACGGACAGCCAATGATGTTGCGACAGAACATCGCTCCAGCTAGAAAAGAGCTGCTTCTCGAAACACACAACGCGTACCAACGCTCACCGATGGGCGATCGCCAAGGGCAGCCCTCGTATCCTGGGGCTCATCTACGCTCTGCGAATCGTCGAAGTCCACCTATATGAGTGCGGTCGGAGCGGAGCACGCAGCCGAAGGTCAACTAGGCAATACATCCGAGCAACGTGGTCACGGCACGTGAGAACGGCACCGGGTGCCAACTCGCGGTACCAAGCCGGTTCCCTGTTGGTTACAAATAACCAAAATCTTTGCCAGACTCACGCTTGGACTCTCATTGCGGTGAGGATCTGTACCCACTGCACTTAAAGAGTACGTCAGCATCTCGACGTGCGGTCAAAAAACCAGAGCGATGGATGGCAGCAATGCAACGTGCATACCTGTTCGCCCCGAGATTCCCTCCTAGTGAGAGATTTTCCGCTCCTCCTCGAAGGGGCTCTTCCAGGCCTGGACATCGATTGCATGCGGTGTGGTCAAAATGAGTCAAAGGCGTATTTGTAGCGTGGAGAGAGTAAGTTCACGTCGGTCACTACATTGCCCAAGCGTACATGTTCACGTTCAGCAACCTGGAAGGCGCACCTCTTATCAGCTGGCCCGCCACTGTTGTCCTCGACGGCTGCACGCTTGGCCGCTGGGCTGCTTGTCGGGGGTAAGCGTTCGCTGATAGCGAGCGCTTCGGACACCGTGCCGGGCCGGTGGCCATTAAGTTCTTGCTGGAGGCCCTCGTTGGCCTGCACGATCCACGCGGGTATGCACGGAAGACCATGTGTCTGGCAGGGTATGGCATATGGCAAGGTAACCTACAGCCCACGCTTCGTGCGTGGGTCTAGGGGCCACAGGCAGTGTATGAACGCCATGGCGGTTTCCGGGTCTGGCTTGAACATACAGCGATTCCACTTTGTTCAACGAAAGCACGCCGACTAGCCGCATTTTCGCGGTGCTACATGAGTGACTCAGGACTTTGAAATGCGAACCAGGCGGGTAATACGGACGTAGTATGCGATGCCTCTCTAATCTTTGGCGGCATCACAATGCCACCAACATGATACTACCGTGCATGGACTGCGGGGTAGCGAAGAGGTTCCTCAGAAGTTTCGCATAAACTTCTTTCCCCAGCAACCAAAGTTCGAATGCTCCGTCCCGAGTGAAACAATTTCTGGGTACGGATCAAAAACCCCAAACTAACAACGGTAATCATCAACCATTGAATCAAGGCACGAAGAGGACCTTGAATCTCTGTATACCTTCGCCAATGCTTGGGCAGTAGGCGGTGTCTCTACGGTAGCTGGCATCGGGGAGACCGCCTTCCTCTTCGCCGACCGCTTCACCGGACTTCTCGCTGGACTTCTCATTGGAGGCTTGCTAGCGGAGCCCTGGAGTCCATCTTGACGGCCATCCGTCATGTCCACCACACTCATATCGGAGTCTTCGTTGCTGTACATCTGTGAACGACACGAGCAAGGATTGCGTGCTGGATCTATTTCTCGAATCAACACTACACTTTCCGAAAAATATCTGCGCTTCGGTCAGAGACGGGTCGCGGACGCTCAAGCTAGTCATACCAAAAACACTTGATGACATCCTGCATTTGTGTTTCTCATACTTCATGTAGGCATCACGCGCACATTCAAACTTGCCCACAGTATGCACTAAAAGAGAGAACCAGCAGCATTCACAAGGCCAGACTAAAGGTACCGAAACAGACTCCCGGAGACGCAGCAAGTCACCACAAACTCTGCAGTCACTGCGAGATTGTCAAAATAACACACAGCATAGAACGATCCACAACCATGTGATGTCGCCTATCGGAGCTTGGCAGCATGGCTAGGATACGTGGAGAACGCTGAAGAACCAAAAACACGAGAATACACACTGAAGCGCCCGAAAGACGGGCACAGTGAGGGGTGTGAAGACTTCTTCAACAACAGCAATCGACAACAAAGGAGGGGGAGCACGTCGTGGTCAAAGGCACAGAATTAGCAGTCATGCACTATATAGAAGCAGAAAATACCGAAGCTGGGGCTACTTCCACGACATGCTTGAGACCATAGTGAGTGCGGAAATAGAGCAACGCGTCATGATTCTATAAGATAATCCGTTGAATGGTCACAATACATCATCGGTGACACTACGTCATCGAGACTCTTACAGCTTACCGTGAGGAGTTTCGGCCTCGGAAGCAGCGCTTGATCCAATGCTCGCGTAAACGCTTTCATGTCCTTCTCGAAGGTACCAAGCTTGTTCTCCTGGTACATGTGAGCAGGAGGAGAGATATGGGGCTTACACATCGCGCGAGATGAGACAAAAGATATTTCGCAACATGCGACGACAATCGCGAAATCACCGCAAGAGATTATTTGGTCAATAACATGCAAGAGCATAATCAGCCTGGCGAGCACAGGGTTGGCCGAGTCAATCTTGCGTCAAGCATGCGAGGGTCATCGCCAGCGCTTGCTCACCTTGAGCAATGTGCGAAGCTTGATGCTGCTTACGCTGCGGTGCTTCTCCTTGAACACGTCAGTTAGGTTCCGCCTCTCCTTCGATGCGGACATTTGCTCTTCATCGTCAAGCGCGTCTAGATCAAAATCCACTCGTGGAATGAGTCGGTCTATGACCTTGAAGTACGCCTTCGTACAGACGTTGCCCCAGTCAAAAGGCTCTGGCCCAGCGTGATTCCTTTGTTGGGCTAGGAAACAGGAGAGCGCAGCCTGGCCGCCGTTGAGGACGAGAGTCAGGAAAACTACTGTTAAAGACAGTGAAATACGACAGTCGAGCAAGAAGCATTCGCCTTCTTCGCGTCGGGTCGGGAAGGGTACTATGACTAAAAGCCAATTCGGGGACACGCACACAACTTCCGCTGGTATGCGGTGCACCTTTGTCGTTTGACGCAAGAAAGGTCCTGATCCCGCTAGCGTCATGAGCATGTTCGCGGATTCATGAACTTGAGCTACGTCGAGATTACCTGTCGCACAAGAGCAGCTCTCATCTGAGGCCACCTTTCCGTGATGATCGCACTGTCGGTGTTCGCCAGGCTCTTGTGCTGACCAGAAGTAAAGGACGGGAACGGGAACGGCGACGGGAACCACAACAATCACTCCTAGCTGAAAAGGATATGCAAAATACGGCAGTCTTATCAACTAACTCAGCCTTGCATTCCGGTGGCGAGACCCACCCTGAAAGCTGACTCGAGAGGCCGCGTTGCAGAGTACCGCCGCGTTGACTGTCAGAACACAGCACATGGTGGGTTCGAGCAACCGTCTCACGAAACCGAACCCCCCAGCGGATAAACCGCATGTCGAAAAAAATCAAAATTCAAAACAAACTACTTGTAATTGTACTAGTAGGGCGTTCGACGACTCTTCCTGTCCAAACTATGTTAGCAATATGTTGGCAGAGAGCAAAGCGTTCGCTCCGTACAGATGGAAAGAAAGAGGGAGCGCAGAGTAGTTGATGTTCTTACATTGTCTTCTGTGATTGCGTCTGATAACTGCTGTACTTCAAGTACCGGTCGCATGGTAGCCGTTAGTCTGTTACATTACTTGCACGTGCAGACTAGATCGAAAATTGAAGAGCTGTTTACGAAGAGTATGTCAAGTGAGTGACACAGCTACAACAGCCAGACGCCGCGCATTCTTTTCTCACTCTCCACCAATTGGTGTGCGTGGTTGAAACGATTTAAGGTCGTGTAAGGAGACAGACTGCGCTGTCCACTCAAGCTATCCGCGATGGACCCATGGCATCAAGGAAGTGCTACCTTTTGCAAGTGTCCCGCTCTCGAGCAGCCCCGGATGGGCGCTGTAAATCCAACATGTTCAAATGTTCAAATAACCGTCCAACCGTCCGTCCACTCACGAGGATATCAAACCGTTCAAGAAGGCGCTCAAAGGGCTTCGATGGGTCCTTCTGGTCATGATTGAGCAAGGCATTTTCGAGCTCTTCGTCGATGGCGAGGATGTCCAACCGCAACTTGACGTCGCTGCCAACGACAACAATGGCGTCGTCGCTATGGCATCGTGAGAGGATGTGCTGTGTTTCCACCACCATTTTCTCGTGGGCCATGAGGTGAATCAAGTCATGAGCAAGCTGTTGAGGAATACCCTCTGCGGCTGATTCACCGTCTCCAAGCTCTCCGAGCATCCTGCTACCACCCAAGGCCCTAGCTGCCGGTGAATGCATAGCCAGCTGAGCGAATCTGAACCACTTTCGGGCGCAGGACAGTCTTTGACCCGTACAATGGGGGCATGGATAACGATCCCATTCGCCGCCCCCCTCCCCGCGCCCTCCCTTTTGCTGTCATGGGCAAGTTGCATGCACAGCAGTTCGTGCTTGCCCCTGCTGAAAGTAGCGGACTCAGCCAGATGAACTCGTGGTGGGTGTATGTCCTCTATGCACTGGCCACATGCGAAAGCCTCGCTAGGGCCTTTGTGTGTGTTGTGAGCCCAACGAGCGTCACGAAGGCGCACGTCTCTCGTTATGGTTCCCAGTTGACGTGTACAGCAAGGGGTATCGACCATCGAGAGAAGCAACGAATACAGGTGCGTCTAACTACGGCAGTACCTTTGCTGCCTACAGCATCATGAATGTTTGTGTTTTTGTTCTGGCGGGGCGATTCTTTCATGGTATAGAGGAGTGTACAGCAATATCCCCTTTTAGTTTTGGTCGACATTCGCCGCATGAGCTTGTATGATTGCATGCTCCCACCTGATGTCCGGTCTCGTTGTCTGCGGAAACCATCCTGTACCCCTCCACCTTATTGGCGATGCAAGGCTGCTACCACTGCCGCTGGCGGGGGTGTAGTGAAGACTGCTTCCTTAGAGCGCGTGATGGAAGGGCTTGGGGAAAACGAAAAGTATAATGCTGTGCTGCAAGGTGTGTCGAGTATCGTGATGGGCAAGAAGAAGGTCGGGGAAGCTGCTCGGGGTGCTTTTGAGGAGGTATTTCAACTCCTTGACGAAATGCACGCCAACAGGATCAAGTGTTCACTACGGACCGCCTCGGCCGTGGTCGATGCTGCCACGGCTACAACGGACATCGGCATTATTACGAAAGGTGTGAACTCCATAGTGTTTCCTATATTCTGAGCAGTGGCCCAGCGGTCCCGTCAACAATCCCAGGTGTAGGTCAGTTTCGTAGGATACCACCCACACCCTCCATGCATTCTTTTTTTACGCAGAGAATCCATCTCAAGAAAAGAGTCAAAGACAGATAAGCAATGAATCCATAGCGTCAGTGAAGGCTACCTGTGTTTCCATGATTTCCCGAACAGCATACAGCGACATCTCCCCCGTGCGTAAACAAATACTCACATGTCGCATACTTTTGTGTGACACCTGTAAGCAGTACACACTGTGTCCACCTGGTACCACCTGTTATGCACGGCAGGGTTCCATGCAGTTATTTTTTTCAACACGAGCTCAACTCTGTGACTGAGGTGCTACCTGCGGTCCGTGGGTTCAACGCCTCACAGAACAAGATTGTAGTGGGAATCAAACCATTGGTGCTTCCACATCCCAACCAGCGTTGATTGAACCGCCGCACGCACAGAAGCTGTCATCTACAATGTATTGCCTACAGAAGTGCTTCTTAACCTCACGCACACTTGTCCGATTTGTATCTGTGGGCAGTCTTGTCAAAAATTCGACGGGCTGGGGTTGGTCAAAAGTTTTCCCGCGATCTCGGGCGATTGTCTCTCTTACCGACGGAAGCTTCGAAGAAGGAGAAGGCTCTTCGCGGGCTTGTACCGGTAAGTCTATACATGTCCCTCAGCCAGCATTATGCGCTCCGTGGTGTTCAGGCCTAAGTTATCGGATGCTCATGGGCAATCGGAAGGCGGCCAAAGATCCACGCTCCATCTTCACCCCCTGTTGCGGTGAAAGCAGCAAGCAGTGCACTGCTTGTTGTGTTGTGGGCTGACTGGCTGAACCGCACACCCCAAACCCATTTGTTGGTCAGCACCGTTCGTCACCCACCCGAAGGTAGTGCTTTGCTGCGGATTTGTTCGTTTGCTACCAACATGAGACTGACGTGAACGTTTGCGAGGTGACCACTAAACAACCTGATTGACTAACCGTCTGTGGTCGTGCATTCGACTTGCTGCCATGCGCTTGGCCATCCCTAGGTGCCCGATGACGACCGAGCCCAAGAAATAGGGTATGCCGCATCTTTCATGGTGCTGGTAGGCTCTGATTTTTCTTGGGAAGGAATTGGACAAGTGATGCACTATGATACTACCATACCAACGGTGATTGGCGCGGTAACTGCGGCTGCTGTGGGCATCGATGTATGGAAGAGGTCCGGTTGCACCTCGAAGATGGTTCTGAATGGCATGAACAGGCTCTTTCTCAAGGACGTCGAGCGCGAGAGCCGAGCAGAGGCCGGGGCCTTCTTGACGGCGTATATGACGGGCCTGCCATGCTTCGCCTTCCAGCCAAGTGCGGTTGAGGCCCTCCGGTGTGTATATCCAACAATGGGTGGGTGTAGACGTTATCTTCCTCGTGATTAATCGATGCATTTCGTTGCTACTGTTTCGCCACCTCCCCCGTGATCTCCCCCCCTGTATTTGCCATCGGGGTTGGGTTTTCGTCGCTTGGCAACGACGTTGTAAAACAAGCCAATTCACTTCGTGAACTCGGCAACCAGGTTACCGGGTTTTTTTTTTTACCGTTTTTTTTTTTGGCGGCAACCATAGTGGTGGTCGAGTAGATCATGTTGTGCGGGGTCGAGAACCCTCACTCCGCGTAATGGGGATGATCGCACCACGTTGTGTTAAAGTGGTCAAGCACCCTCGAGGCAGTTACACAGTGCTTACAACTGTCTCAGGAAGTGAAAGCACCAGAAACGACATCAAGTCATACGCAGCTGTCATCCGTAGGCAAGGAAGTAAGCACAAGATGCAGACAATCCTTAGCAGGATGCAGCGCACCCTTCATGCGACTCGCCGAATATCTCACGGCGCTTCGCGCTTGGTGATGTGAGAGCCTGGTCCGGTGAGAACCCGGCGTGCTCCGTCCCGGCTTTGCAGGGATGCGAGGTCAATGGTCTAACGACGGCATGCAAGACTATGAGTACACCGCCCCCCCCGTGATGCGTGGAGCGGGCGTAGTTCTCATCTTGTTCCTCTCACTTGTTGCTAGGATGGCCGCCGATCCCGACATGAACGAGACGTTTTTAAATGGTAACGGCGTGCACCGCATCCTGGTGTGGCTACTGGCCGGGGTAGCGGGCGAAGGGCTGGTTCACCGACAAATGATTGCCAGCGACCCTCGTCAAGCCTTCGCGTTTCTGCAGATGGTCCGAAATAGGTGAGCATCGTATATGCCAGATGAGGTGTTGCAGCAGAGGGGGAAACATGCTAGACTGACGGTCCATGATATGTACATGTAGTGGCATTTTTCCAATGTGATGGCGGATGGCGGGGTCCTGTGACCGGTCTTGTCACCTCATGAATTTTCAAAATAATAATAATGGTACAAATTTGGTAGTCCTAGGTAGCTTACACAAATTGCACAGTCCTAGTATAAAATCGGACGATTGTTTTACGCCAGCCTTACTTCGTGTTTTCGCTCATCCTAGGGAGGTGGGATTCGATCTGGACCCTGAAGACGATTCTGAACGAGTACAGTGGGCTTTTAACGAGGCCAGAGCACTGCTCAAGGAAAACGAGGGCGCGTTTGAGGCGTTGCGACGGAGACTAGAGGGTGGTGGAGCAACAGTTGGCGATTGTGTGTCCATCATCGAGAGAAGGACAACATGAACGTCCGTGTATGTACAACGAAGAGTATCCCGTGTCTCCACGGAAAAAGCTCCTGTGGTTGCGTTTGAGACAAGGGCGGGAAGGGGCAGATGACGCCGTGTGTACTTGGTTGACTTGAAACTGTTCTGAGACTGGACTAGCCAGCAGACCCTGGGAGAGGCCATAAGATCCCCTTTCCGTTTAGCCCATGTTATGTGGTCCTCTATCAAGCATTGGGGGAGAGAGAGGGGAAGGGAACGAAGTGCAGATAAGAGAGCGCAGTGCACTTGGAAAGCTCTGGGAGCTGCTGTTTACGTCCACAAGGGGCTTGACAACGGTTCACAGCGGGGCGGTTGGACTCCTCTGGGTATTTGATGGGTTGACGGTTGGTTTTGCTGGTTATTCATGGCCCTCTTTACTATTGTCGCTCCGTTAGCGAGATAAGCAGATCGTTCATGGTGTAGGGTGTTGGAGCATGTGTGATGTGGTGCAAGTCCTCCACATACAGCAAGGGATGCTTGACGACCAGCAGCAGTGTGTTGTTTTTCTATTCAGACCGAGGTGAAAAGAGTAACAAGTTGCAGTTAGGAGTTTGGAGAGGTGCTGTTTGCTGCCCTGCGTCCGAGCTATTTAGATATACAGGGCATTTGCATCTGCTTGGCACGCGCGGGGTTCATTTTTTTTCGCACGTTGTGCGACACCCTCCTTTGGGTCGGGGTGAATGGACCACATCAATAATCCCCATGTGATCAGGCAAACAAATCTCAACTGCAAGTCAGCGGGCCCCCAAGAGTAACAAGGGTTCCCTGTTTAACTTGAAGAGTTATTCCATGCCTCTGTGCACTCTCTTCGTGAAACAGCAAACGAAGCATGGAACGCATAGTGTGTGCGTGGGCCAATTCCAGAGTGACTACTGGGAATTCTTTGCAAGCTTCTTCCTCAACTTGTCGGCCGCAGCACAGTGTTAACGCCTCATAGTTTTCCGCTGTCTCTTCTCTGGACGAATAGCTGGTTCACGAACAGGGACCTCCTCGCCGACGCCCATCACCGGCGAAATTAGAGTCATCCTCGCTCCTTGGTGTCGTGCGTTGTTCACCACGTCAACGTAGACACGAACTGCGCAAGATAGAAAGCGGCCGGGACGGATGGGCTTTTAGCAAGAGAACCCGAAGCTTGACCGAACGAGTGCGGGGCTACAACGCTCATGCTTTGCAGACGGACAGCAGTAGACTGCGGACGGGGCGGGGCGTCTCTACAAACTTTCTCTAAAAATTTGTTGGAAAAGTTGGGTCGCTCTCAGCTACACTAAAAGGACGCGCAACAGTGGCGGCAAGCCCACACCCACAATCGTGGGCGTGGGTTGCGTCCCTACCTTTGTCCATGATCTGGATGCTAGTCTGGCCGACATCGCCAGCCGAAGAAGGGGGCACATAAACAAGCTTGAGTGCCTGTTTGTCAAAGTCAAACGTGCCGTCCCCGGCATCCAGCTCGATCTGCAACGGCAACCAAAGAGAAGCCGTGCGGTTGCGCAAATCCAGGAAGGCTTGCGTGAGGGCATATACGAAAACCGGCGGGAAAACAACAGGAGATAACGCACCCCTAACTTTTCTTCTCCAGGCTAGCCACAAATAACTCAGGAACCCATGTTTCCGCTACAAAAGAACCAGCTGAAGGCGAGGACCGCATCAGTGAAGGAGAGTGGCCTTGATAGAACTAGAGTTCGCGACGGAAGGCCAACTGCTGTCTCTTCGCCACATCGGGGTATCGAATCAACTACTTCACGAGTAAACTACAGAATACGCACACGAGAGATTTACATTCACTTCTTTTTTTATCGCAAAATCCTTATCGGGGCTTGAGAGGGTTGTTGAGCTCGATACAGACAACGCCCCCGCTCACCGTTCCTTCGATGCCGAAACGTGGCACAATGACAGAAAGCTTGGTCTTGTCGACAGAGAGTACGAAGGCGTCCTCCTCGGTCGGATTGTTGGCGAAGTACATCTCCGTGTGCAGGCCCACCGATGCTCGTCCTGGAGAATTCCAGGCCGAGGAGAAAATTGAGCCACTACGCGTAACATCTGGGGCGGCGGTCCTGCGATCGTCCTACACGCGGTGCCACAACCAACTGCGCTTGCCTACGCGTGTGGTGGGGAAGCACATGAAACGCCATAAAACGTAGCGTTACAAACCCGTCACGTTTGTGTGCTGGATAGCCTACAGCTCCTTGTAGAAGCAAAAGTATACTGTCACGGCAGCTGCCAGAACGTCGATGTGAAGGCATTCCATTACCTGCAAGTTGAGCAGACCGATGCCGCCGGTTCATGTTCTCCGTAAGGTTGTGCAAAAGGGCCTGCCGCACGCAATCACGGCGGGTTCGTTGGTAAGTTTTTCCGCACAATGGTTTCCTCGGCCGGCGTGCACCTTGTCACCACATTGTTGCGAACGTGCCTCAGCCTACAAGGTTCTACACACACCTTGTCCATGAGGAATGCCGGCAGCGGTGCCACTCCGATCGCTGCGCCCAGCAACCGGTGTACGCATACGTCAGCATACCGGCGGATGGGGCTCGTGAAATGCGTGTATATCGGTGCGGCAAGCCCGTAGTGATGCCAGTCTTCCTGAGCCTGTTCCCCTGAGCAGAAGTACTGCGCCGGCATCATGCACCTGACGAAAGCAAAAGGCGCGTCTTCTTTCGCTTGGTGGTCAATCGAAATAGCAATGGAATGTGCCTCCACCAAAGTTCATGGCCAACACGAGACGTGGCTCTAACAACGCTAATGGAGGTCCACAAATAGCAACAAAATAGCGAACCTTCTCGCGATACCCCCTCTCAGCCCAACAACAACATCCTCTACATTACTTACGTTTCCGACGACATTGCGATCGCGGCGTCACTTCAATGAGAATACCTGAGACAAAAAAACGCCATTATCCACTGCCTATGGACCATGTTTGCTCACCTCGTGCTGAGAATACGCAGCAATTTGTTGAAGTACGGATCGCCCTTGCGCGTGGCACGATCCAAAGACTGCGCCAGCTGCTTAGAGTTGTTCACGTCAAGCTCGATTCCCACTGCTTGTGCAATGGCCAGAAGCCCATCGAATTGTTGGCGAGAGGGTGAAGGGTGCCGTCGAAGCACAGATAGAGTAGGAAAGTGCCTGTGGGTTTCGGACGGGACGGGTGCACGGACTGTTACTAAAACCTACGGCGTATCGCGCTTTCTCTGTTACTCACTATAAAGGGTTTGTATCATCGAATGAAATACGTGCAGTCAAGCCCTGTGCTTTAGATCACGAACGGCTCACAAACACATGCAACGCGGGTTGACCTCTTGTTTTCAAGTCAGCAAGCGGTGCGAAAGTTGCACCAAAATAGATGCTAAACCCATCTTCGCTTGTTGAACAAGAGCGTCGCCGTGAGGGTGAAAGCGTTTGAGAATAGGGTTGGAACGCACCGCAGTATCTTCTTGCCGACGGTGATGTTCGCCAGAAGCATAAACTCTTCGACTAAAGCGTTGGTTTCCGTCAGGGCGTACATCTGCACGTCCGTGGGGTTTTGGCTCTCACTGTCTAGAACAAACCGCACCTGCAAAGGACATGCGAAGTACAAGAGGCGGCCAGAATTAGAGGGTAAGTGCATCTCAACAATCGATCCCACAGAATTGGTGAACTGACGGGGCGGCTGATCACTCGTCCATCTCGACACTCAGTTCAAACGAGTCCCTTGAGAACAAACACACAATGTTTACTTTGATACCCCGATTTGCATACATGAATAAGAACTCCACGTCGCGTGTGTGTTTCCTGCACGGCACAACACTAGTGTACCTCTGGTGAAGCCAGCGTCAGCGCGCCAGAATCCAGACGTCTTTTGCGGAAGATCTTGGCGAGGTCGTTCAGTCGCCTTACGCTTTCGGCCTTGACGTCTTGGATGTTCGGGTCGTCTAGCATCAATTGCGCTTCATTGTAGGTCAATCCCGCCACGCTGTGGATAATGGACTTGCAAAAGTCGACGTCGACAATAACTCCGGCCGGCGTCATTTCCCAGATGACGCTGAATGCGAACCTGTAACGAAAGTCCGGTTGAGAGTGTGCATCGTGAACATGGCTACAGCGTTGTGGGGGTGCATGTTTTCGCAATCTTTCATAACGCCGGACGGACCATGATTCCCGCGCGGCAACAATTCGGATCTCACCTATCGACGTTCGGCTTGAGCGAGCACAATGTCTCGGTGAGCATTCCAGGCAGCATATCCAACCGCCTCTCCACCAGGTAGGTGGAAGTGCTACGCGATGAGGCTTCTTGGTCAAGGGCGGAGCCTGCTTCTACGAAGTGTGTCACATCGGCAATGTGAACGCCAACCTGTGATCAATTCCGCCCAGCGACAACATATGCTTCATCCATTTGGTTGTTACAAAACTGAAGTGCCATACGATGGATGCTGCCGGGGTATGGGCACCGAGCAGGGACTATCTGGTCGCGTCCTCGCACTTTGTCGATGTGTCGGGGATACGCTCTTGCGATGTTTTCTACTTGTACATTGGTGCGGGGGGGTTACCTCCAGGTTGCCGTTTTCCAGCGGACGGGCGTGGAGGGCGTCGTCGATGTCTTTGCAGCCTGGCGGGTCGATGCTCAGCACAGGTAGGTGGCGGAGGTCCTTTCTACCTTCTGAATTCTCGGGGGTGATGGCCCAGTCATCAGGAGGCAGGCAAGCCAGCACTTTGCCGGAAAAACTCTCATGAGGTATTTCATGCTCGAGAAGAATCACCTTTGGAGCGAAACGAAATGGCGTGAGCATAGAAACACAACAAATGTTGAAACGGCAAAGAAGACACAGGCTAGCTTTCAGTACCGCACTCTTCAAGTACTTGAATACGTTAAATGGCAAAATCCGTGGCCGAATGCAAATCCGTGTCGCGAGGTTGGCTGGTAGTGTAGAGCACTCGCCGTGTCGCATTACACCTACCTCAGTCTCGGTGGCCTTGGCACCCTTCTCTCCCAGGGTTTTGACGTAGTGGCCAAGAGGGTACTTGCACCATGCTGGCCACGAGTCCATCGCCACCAGGATCCTTTTTGTGCTCAGAACGTCTCGTTGGCGGGTTTGGATGCGCACCCACGGGATCTGCAACACAGGAGTTGAGCATGTGAATCGTGGGCGAGCGTGGCGAACTGAATCCAGGACTAAGAAAAAACTTGACAGACTCCGTTGCAGGGTATATACACACGTTAGCAATAACTTGGACGAGGCATGACATTGACAAACGCAATGCATGCCGAATTGGTTCACCTTCCTGTCCACAGGCATGAAAAGAGCACTCGTTGACTGGCCTTTGCCGCTCGCAACCGCTCGGTCTCCTTCGACCCGCAGGGACCCGCAGTACTGCTTCTCCCGCCAATTCCGTCGAATGATGCCCACAACTCGCCCGCAAGGCCGCCTCGTCTCGGCCCCCTCCAGTTTTTTCGTCTTCTCGATTTCCTCTATCGCTGGTTGAGCTGTCGGCTCCGGCACCAAGTTTTCCGTTGGCCTGTTATCTGGAATTCCCATCTCTCCACCTGTAGGCGTTTTCTAGACGATTGCAAGCACAGTGGCGGGTGGGACAAATGAGGAGCTTTCTCGATCCTTCGCGAATCGAGTGGCCAAGCACGTGCACCACGACACACTTGAGGATTATGTGGGTGGAGTGAGAGGGAAAATTGCAGTCAAGGCATGGGGCTCTCCGACTGAGCAGTTACTCTCCTTAAGTAACCTCTTCCATCGCTCCCCGGCTTATTTGTGGTGGCAACTGACCTCCTCTTTGGCCGCTCCGCTCGACGTGTCACCTTGGGAGCACCATTCTGCTTCGGGTAGTAGCTCGAACGCCACAATGTCACCGTCCACCGCCCGGTTGATGCATTGAGCACCCCGTATGTACACCGCGATGCGCTCCTTGTCCTGAGAGAAAGAGAGAGGGGGGG